AGAGTAACTAGAGAGAGAGAGAAGTTAAATTCACGGTAGCTCAATGGGAAGGTGAAGAGAAGGATGAAGAGTACATAATTAAGTAAAGAAGTTTGTAATGGAAGAATATGTGTCCAACTTTGGCAGAAAGATTAAGGCTCATAGATAGTACAATGCTGTTAATTAGGAATGTTTAAGAACACGTTGACTATATTCAGTAAGAAACTTAGAATGATAAAGGTCAGCTGGCTAGAAAATAGACGTGAGAAGTAAACAGATATATATGGAGGATAAGTCACGTGATCTGTTTTTCGTCATTAACGTTTAACAGTAATGTGTTCGTAACATTTGTTAAAATAATCACATTAGATACCCCATTTTCAAGATTGTGTAATCTGTTTGAAAGCCTCCGGGTAAGTAAGTGTTTATTATTAATTACATTCTTTATTCATTAAGTCAAACTCCACTGCTTATACGTGCTATAAAACCTGACTAACCCCCTCTTTTTTATCTGCGGCTCAACGGCTCACAGAATGGCTTTGAGTTGGTTTTTGTTTTTTAAGTACAAACTTTTGGCTCGTAACTTCGTCATCTCATGACTGACTGCCCCACCCAGTGGCACAGCGGTATGTCTGCGGACTTATAACTCTAGAATCTGGGTTTCGATACCCCTGGTGGGCAGAGCACAGATAGCCCATTGTATAGCTTTGTGCTTAACTACAAACAAACAACCAATCTCGTGACTGATTTGAGATCTAATTACAGTTTGGACTGTGGAGGTGAAACCATTTCGATTGGTGTATTTGATCACGCCCAGAGTCTCCTAGATTAATTTACTATAATCCTGCCTATTAGAATTTAAATTTGAGAGTAGGCTTGTAAAGATCCTGATGAATAATAAAATCGGATCGTGTATACCCGAGCTCTACACTTGGTATTGCTGGCGCACAAAAATATAGCTAATAAAAAGGAGGGAAACAAAATATATCATAGATTAATTTACTCTAGTCCTCCCGAAAATAATTTCAAGTGCCGCAGCTACTGAGGATTCCCTCTTGTTTTAATAGTGAGAGAAAACTTCTTCCTATTTTTAAATGGTTTCTTGCAGGCTAAAATGTGTTATCTTATTGCTTGAACACGTTTTTTTTTTCATCATTTCCTAAGATTCCCGATAGAAGTGTTTTTATCATCTATAAAATAAACATCTTCCTCGTCATCAGTTAATCTAAAATTTGTCCCCAGTGGTTCAGCGCTAAGTCTGAAGGCTTATAACGCTTAGAACCAGGCTTTGATACCCGTGGTGGCCACATCACACACACACATAGCCCATTGTGTAGCTTTGCGCTTAACTACAAAAGAAGCAAACAATCCTCTAAAATTTCGACAAATATGTTAATCTTTAAGATTGTTCCAAATCAGTTGGTCAACAAACTTGACATTCCTTGAGTGAAAGACCTCGGACAGTAACGGCTGAACGTTTGAACTAAGATAAATAAACTGAAATATCCTAAACCTAGAGTTGTGTATACGACATGCGTACTACTTCCCACATACTGCATAAACTTCAGCACAAGGATTGACATTTTTCAATTAACGAGGTATGAACGAAGAGAACCAGACAATTAATGAGGTATCAACGAAGAGAACCAGACAGTTAATGAGGTATCAACGAAGAGAACCAGACAGTTAATGAGGTATCAACGAAGAGAACCAGACAATTAATGAGGTATGAACGAAGAGAACCAGACAGTTAATGAGGTATCAACGAAGAGAACCAGACAATTCATGAGGTATCAACGAAGAGAACTAGACAATTAATGAGGTAACGAAGAGAACTAGACAATTAATGAGGTATGAACGAAGAGAACCAGACAATTAATGAGGCATGAACGAGGAGAACCAGACAATTAATGAGGTATGAACGAAGAGAACCAGACAGTTAATGAGGTATCAACGAAGAGAACCAGACAATTAATGAGGTATGAACGAATAGAACCAGACAATTAATGAGGTATAAACGAATAGAACCAGACAATTAATGAGGTATCAACGAAGAGAACCAGACAGTTAATGAGGTATCAACGAAGAGAACCAGACAATTAATGAGGCATGAATGAAGAGAACCAGACAATTAATGAGGTATGAACGTATATTGCATTAAATTTGTCACAACATTCAATGTAAAGAACTTGGCTAAAGCAATTAGATGAAATTATTCATTTTCCATGTAAAAGAAATAGGGGACCCAAGTTCAATAAAGAGTTTTAAATACAAAAATCAGTGTTCCTACTTGTTATGAGGAGAGGAAGCCTTATTATACACTTCAAATAAAAGTCCAACGATACAGCTTTTGAGTGAATTGTTTATATTATTTAACTTTTTTACGACTTTTTTAAATACAAAAATCAGTGTTCCTACTTGTTATGAGGAGAGGAAGCCTTATTATACACTTCAAATAAAAGTCCAACGATACAGCTTTTGAGTGAATTGTTTATATTATTTAACTTTTTTACGACTTTTCGACCACTCGTGAGGCCATCATCATCATGTAACTGTCCCTATTTTGTGAAATACGGTTACCTGATAATAGCCACACGAGTGATCGAAACGTCGTAAAAAAAGTTAAATAAAAATACACAATCCACTCAAAAGTTGTATCGTTGGACTTATATATATATCATAGGTTTCACAAAGCTTACACAACCTAAAAGTGCTGTTGCTAGTGGCAGACCAAATAAGATTTTAGGTTCTGTCTATAGAAATCTTGAATACAAGTCTAGAGAGGTTATAATGTTACCGTATAGGTCACTGGTTAGACCACAATTAGATTATTCTGTTCAGTCTTGGGCTCCTTACCTTAGGAAGGACATTGAGTTAATGGATGATACCTGGGATGGAAAGGTTGTTATGAAACGAAAATATAAGATCTCTCAAATTGTTTTATCTTGGAAAATAGAAGAGTTAGAGGGGATCTGATTGAGCTGTTTAAGATTGTAAAGGGAATTGATAGTGTTGATGCATCATCTTATTTCGTACTTAATGGTGAAAATGGTGAGGCTAGAAAACACATACATAAAATTTGGCAGAAAAAAAGTCATCTTCAGCTAAGACATCTTTATTTTTCTAACAAGGTGGTTGGCCTTTGGAATGGGATGCCTTCAGATGTGGTAGATGTAGTTGATTTAAAGGAGTTTAAGATAAGGGTTGATAAACATTTAAATGATAAGGGTTGATTTGAGTGTTTTGTTTTTATTTCAAAGTTTAGTTTAATGGATGGGACGACCTAGTTGGAACAATAGGTCCTCTGTTTTCCTGAAATTATACGTAATATGTATTTTTGTTTTGTTTGACTCGTATGTTGGTAGGGTCTCTGTAGGTAAACTAGAACTTTGTCTAATCTGTTACTATCTTCTGATAATCGTATTGGAATATCATCTAGTATGTTACGATCTTCTGATAATCGTTCTGGAACATCATCTGGTCTGTTACTATCTTCTGATAATCGTATTGGAATATCATCTAGTCTGTTACTATCTTCTGATAATCGTATTGGAACATCATCTAGTCTGTTACGATCTTCTGATAATCGTTCTGGAACATCATCTAGTCTGTTTCTATCTTCTGATAATAGCACTGGAACATCATCTGGTCTGTTACTATCTTCTGATAATCGTACTGGAACATCATCTGGTCTGTTACTATCTTCTGATAATAGCATTGGAACATCATCTGGTCTGTAACTATCTTCTGATAATCGTTCTGGAACATCATCTGGTCTGTTACTATCTTCTGATAATAGCACTGAAACATCATCTAGTCTGTTACGATCTTCTGATAATCGTTCTGGAATATCATCTAGTCTGTTACTATCTTCTGATAATCGTATTGAACATCATCTAGTCTGTTACTACCTTCTGATAATCGTATTGGAACATCATCTAGTCTGTTACTATCTTCTGATAATCGTACTGGAACATCATCTGGTCTGTTACTATCTTCTGATAATAGCACTGGAACATCATCTAGTCTGTTACGATCTTCTGATAATCATTCTGGAACATCATCTAGTCTGTTTCTATCTTCTGATAATAGCACTGGAACATCATCTGGTCTGTTACTATCTTCTGATAATCGTACTGGAACATCATCTGGTCTGTTACTATCTTCTGATAATAGCACTGGAACATCATCTGGTCTGTTACTATCTTCTGATAATAGCACTGGAACATCATCTGGTCTGTTACTATCTTCTGATAATAGCACTGAAACATCATCTAGCCTGTTACGATCTTCTGATAATCGTTCTGGAACATCATCTAGTCTGTTACGATCTTCTGATAATCGTAATGGAACATCATCTAGTCTGTTAGTAATTTTATTGGAATCGATATACAAGCTAACTGACCGATAATATTGACTTGTTCGCTTAAAGTACGCCACATCAAAGTCGACATTGAATTAAGTAAATATTAAAATAATAACAAAATATTTGGTGCATATAAAATATTACGACACAATATACCATGATTATATAAACAAAGGTCACATTTCACAGTTTAAAAAGGCGTGTTGTTTTTGTTCGAAGTCATCTGATGCAATAATAGTTCGTTGTCATGGTGACGCCAACGCATGCTATTTACCTCCATATTATCGATCGTCAGGCGGTCATGTGCAGCCTATTCACGTGTCAGGAGCCAATAGGTTATATATATATATATATATATACGTACAGTATGTGTGTGTGTGTGTGTATATATATACATAATACTTACACACTTAGACTGTTGTTTAAAAGTGTAATTACATATCTACATTTCACACAAAACGTGACTGATCACATCAGCGTGCTTATTTTGTGTTCAGAAAAGTGATTGAACGAACATCATTTGTGTCTAAAGACTGAGTAAAAACTAGAAGACGAGCGTTAGAACAAACACTGTATTTCTCTGGGGCTATTTACAAGATAATAAATAAAGACTGAGTAAAAAACTAGATGACGGGCGTTAAAATAAATACTGTATTTTTCCGGGCTATTTACACTTGGCTCAGTTACTGTCGTTGTAAAACGCTGGCTGGACGGGTTGATTACATAATCAAGGGTTCCATCATAGAACCCGGGCGACGGTGATCCAGTTGCAAATGGCGTCTTCTATATAAAAAGATAAGTTGATAAGTGTGGTTTGTTTTTGTGGCATAAATACAGAAAGAAGTAATATTGGTGTCGGAAGTTGACCACAGCGTTCACACGTGACGTGTAAAGAGGTGTCGAATGAACTAAAAAGAAATAATACAAAACACGTGGTAAATTTTTAAAGATAAATAACGATAAATTATCATTTTTCTTCTCAAGAAAGTAACAATTCTGTAAAGTCCGTCACAAATAAGACGGAAAAAGTAATCTTACAAAACCGGATTAATCCTTATAATTTCTGTGTTGTTACAAAATACGCAAGGGAAAATAAATCAGTTTGTAACCACTGTGATATAGTCCTATGTTACGATTTTATTTACTTGGTTTGTTGGTTGTTTGGGATATACACTCAAGGCTACAGAGTTGGGTTGCGTGTGCTAGTTATCCCTAATTTTCAACTGACAGACTAGAGTGAATACAGCTAGTCAGCTCCACTCACTTCTAACGTGAGATTTGACTGTTATATTTATAACGTACTCACGGGCCCAAAGCGCAATTCTGAGGCAACGGAACGCGAACCATGGATCTTCGAATCCACAGACCGGTACGCTAACAAGTGACCACGCCCGTTCCTTTTACGACTTTAAGCAACATCACTCGTTTTCTTCGAAATGCGAAGATAATTAGTACGCTGTTGATGCATAAAACTGCTGTAGCCAATTTAAAAATACGTCGAAGACTGTTTTAGTACGGTGCTGGCTAACTTAAAAATGCTACTTTTTAATGTTTCGTTTTGCGCGTATGACAACACAGAAACTTCGTAGCACGTGACAGCACTTTCAGATCAATCGCTTGCCTTTCGCTATATAAGGAAATGACACACACATTTCGATAAGTTTAAGTCAAGTGAGCGGATCGATACTTTGGCTCGAAACTGAATCCAACACGGGGCTGACAAGGCCGTTCCACTCAGATTCCCTTTCCAACCGTCGTGTAGACGAGTTGCGTTGAAAGTAACGCCGCAGAGCAGAAGCGGGAAAGTAGAACATATGCGCTTAGCAAGTATTGCATAACGCGCTAGCGAACACCAGTCGTCGGACTTTCGGGCCTGAGAGTCCAGATAGCAGAGCTTTACGTGGTCCGATTGTGGTCCCGATTTCATCTTGCAGTAAGCCTACTAATGAACTTCAGATACAGCTGCGAAATATTTTATCTCTGTTACATGATCAAAGCTTTCTGTTTAGAAACTACTTGGACTTCACATTGTTGTACTCATAACAGCCTTGTTTCCCCTCGTCATCGCAAGGGATACTTGTAGTAGTTGTAATTGTTCATCAGATCTTCGTTGTTGTTTTTTGTGTGTCCCATCTTTTTCTTGCCAGTTTTGTCGAAGTTGTATTCCACCTTATAATTATCGTTACGTCCATCCACATAAACGTTTGTTATTGTGCACTAATCAGTGTGGATTTCAGTGTTTTGATATTAACAACACAACTCTGCTGATTAACTACGTTCTGCGTCTGTTCATCGGAGCTTTTCACTGTTTACAGGTAAGGAAATATTATATCAAACATACATAATTTATTGTCGAGTATATGTACACATCGTTTTGTTGTAATAATAAGCGAGCGTTTCGAACGAAGTGAATATTTAGTGTGACAATACAAAACAATACCATAAGCCTAAAACATGTAAAACAATACAAAACAGTATGTCATAAGCCTAAAACTTGTAAAACAATATGTCATAAGCCTAAAACGTGTAAAACAATAGAAAGCAGAACGCTGTAAGACTGAAACTTGTAGAATGCATAATTATGCAAATAGTTTTACCAGGTCTGAATTTTAACTGTATTCAGTCATAAATAAGAGTTTTGATAGCAAAACTGTGAATAGTATACATACGACAGAGACTACCTAATTACGTGAAGACCCTTTAGTCCGAGAGTACGGTACCTGAAGACTAATCTGACAGTTTCTGTTTTGTAAACAGATTTATTATAACATATCTAGTAACAGTTCGTAACCGCTTTGATCGGTACTTCCATATCATTTGTGTATTGTGTAGGTTTAGGACAAGATTTAATAAACAAAGAAAAATTATTTTCTTTCAATATTATAACCATACCTAAATTAATTTACTATGTGGTGAAATAAAACGGATTCAAAACCCCCATAGATATTAATATCTTTATATTTTATTATATGTTATATTTGGGTAATATTTTCTCCACTCTTAAAAGTTAGCGAATCAGTTTCTTTTTTTATCCCTCAACTTTAAGGGATACCATAACATAACACTTTCTAACACTACATATCTGTATTTCAGAAGTAATAATGTCAGCCTGTACTTAAGGCTAAGTTAAGGCAGTTTAAACAATAAGAATAACTTTATATGATGAGAAACAACTCAAAATCAAACCTCCTCTAGTTCTGAAAGCTTTGCATGGCGGTCATCAGACAGTGGGGGGGGGGGGGATTTTAATACACTTTGCTTGCCTTGACATGATTTTTTTTACCCCTGACCTGTTTTTCTCAGGACTTTTCCAACGTCATTGAATCATTTCTGTGCGGAAGTTTTGCGTTCGTAAATCTAGGTCGCGTTACCTACCATACGAGTCAGACAAGTCGCGTTAGATGTGAAAGAATCCTTTTGTCTGTATCAGTTTTTCCGAGTTTCTGGGTTCGGTTTTACTTAGCTACTTCTGAGTTCCTGATGCCCGAAGTTGCTTGTGGGTTGCAATTTTTCAGGTAGAGTTGGATTGTGCACATATAAGCCTATGTTCTTACGTTCGTGACCGAATTTTATTACTTTGACACTGTAGAAGCTATAATAAATTATTAACGAAATTTGAATACTACTCGAGAGATTGTTGTTTATCCCAGTTATGTCTATCTGACGCTTTCGAAGACTAATATTAGCATCGCGTTCTTTTGTTGCGTGACGCGTGAATTGCGACTCACGTGTCTCAACTTTTCACGTGTCTCCCTATTCAACCTTCTCCTCGCTGTTTCTTCTTGTCGCCTACTCTGTGCAGCGCGTGCCTGTTCGAACACATCGGGGAAGGGGGGGGGTATACTTCGATTATTTTTTTTAATCAACTGTGCGCAGAACAGTTTATTTCGCTAGGCGGCGAGATATTTTACTGGTTGATCTTTGACGAGTTGATCCTACACGTTTGTTTACATCACAACTGTTGACATAATTTGTTGATATTCTATAGATGTGGTTGATAGGTTCGTAATTCGTAGTGAAAAACCGGGGATCAAACAAAGTTGTTTTCACTGTCGGTTATTAGAAATGAAGTATTCAGAAATCAATTGTTATGAAGACCTCAAGTCACTCACTGGCGAGGAGTAATATCACATTTTTCATTTTAAAGTTTAATATTAACAGTGCATTTTTACCCGTAGTGTTATAACTTCAGGGCGGCTACTTTAAGCCTTGTATGTTACCAACTGTTAAAAAAATCATAGCTACTGTAGTGAAAAATTTTTTTAAGCACAAAGCTACACGATGGGATCTCTGTACTCTTCCCACTATCGGTATCGAAACCTGATTTTTACAGTTATAGGTGTGTGGGTAGTGAAGAAAGTGAGATAAAGAAATGTTGATAAACTATTCTGTTTTATTAGATTTGTTTGCTCATATATTTTCTTCTTTCTATTTCAGGTTCTGATACCATCATGATGCTGACAGAGAACGAGCCTTTATCCAAACAACCTCGTCTCCAGGAGCCACTCCCACCTCTTCTTCAAGGAGAGCCGCCCCCAGTTACCGTCCCTGAGTCTTCTCCTGGCCATTTCTCTAGTCAAAATGACCCCTGGACACAGCAGCTCAATGGACCGGTAGATTTAACAGCTCATTTGAAGCCTCAAGAGATATTCCCAGGGAGGAAACAACGCGAGTTCATCCCGGACTTCAAGAAAGATTACAATTACTGGGATAGACGACGAAGGAATAACGAAGCAGCTAAAAGGTCACGTCAAAAACGTCGGCTAAATGACCTAGTGCTGGAAACCAAAGTCTTGGAGCTGACCAAAGAGAATGCCATCCTTAGAGCCGAGTTAGGAGCCATTAAAGACAAGTATAGTATTTCACCACAGCCTATGGTCAGTCCAGATCAAGTCCAACTGCCCTTTCCCTCTGTGTGTCCGGAGCTACATGGACGACGTTCCAAGTTAGTGTCCAGTATAATCCCGAGTATTTGCCCTCCAATAGGCAATACCACCACTCTCTACACTCACGTTCAAGGTACGTCCAGCTCAACCTCTTCCCTTATGTCAGCTAGTGGTCAGCTTTATCCCCACCCATCCACGGTTAACCAAGTGGTAAATAATAGTGATAGTGACTACTCCACTAACAGCGACATCAGTCTGTCGTCTCTTCAACCGAACACGAACCACGGGGTGAAAATCGGTAACTGTCAAACGCTCGAACAAACATTGTTCAATGCTCCTGCCGCAGCGAGGTGTTCTCCTGTCGACCAAGAGTTCACGGGATCTTCGAGCTCTTGGTCATCAACAGAAAACAGTCCTCAAACAAGTGCAAGCGGGCAATCCAGTCCTCATTTCTCCCTACCCCTCAAGCTGAGACACAAGATTCATCTCGGTGAACGAGAGAGCCGCCAAAACACACCTAGTCCAACGGACAGTGGCCGCAGCAGCAGGCAGGACAGCAACAGCGTTCGAGAAGACGCCTCCTCAGCCTCCTCTGACGGAGACAGTACTGGTAGTCACGATAATTCCTCCTCAATCAGTCTCATTTCCGCCGATAGAAAACACCGATCTCAGCCACGGTCTTCTCACAAAGCGCCGCCACATGAACGCAATTTGCTACAGGCCGAAAACTCTCAGCTTCGCGGCGAACTCCAGAGATTAGCGTCCGAAGTAGCCAACTTACGGAACATGATGCTTTATAATCGCAAACACACGGGGCTCGATGACCTACGTTCGGCTGAAAAGAACAACTTTACGTGTCAAGATAATCACAATGATCAGTTTTGATGTTCGACGTGTGGTTAATTTGTGCCAAAGGTGAAAAAAACTCCTCTCTGTCCGATTGTCACGTGCTACGTTCTCCTCTGATTGGCTGTTTTCCCTTTGCACATTTATCAACATGTAACCATTTAAAGTATATTCACATTCTTCCATATTTTGTACAGCTTTTAATAATTTGTTTACTATGGAAAGTGTACATAAAATAGGTATAAAATATCATATACAACTGCCACAGTAGCTTTTATTGACAGATACAAAAACACGTCATTCCAGAGTTTGTATTTCCATACAATTCAAAGTATCGTTTTTATCTAAAAACACCACTTTTGTAAAATTCATTATGTTGTTCTAAGTGTGACAGAAGAAATATACATTACAATATTTTATGAAGAAAAAAATTATAGAATAAAAAAATTAACTTCCGAAATGCTGTATAATTAAGAAATTCTTTGATATTTGAAAACTTTTATGGTACGTGTTAAAACACTGGTATAATTGTGTAATGACCGAAACAGAAAGTTACAGAGCTAAGCCAACTGTGCAGTTGATGTTATTATATATGTAAGGTGTTTAAGTGTGTTAAATAAATCTGGTTAAAATTTTAC